GTGGACTTGAGAATATCACATGTAAGTACGAGACTGAGGGTTAACTGGAGTGTAAGCATAAATTATTTTAGTCCAAAAACTCAATGTTAGCGCTGACACAACGAGCAGTGTGTGGAGAATAACGACTGTGATTTTTGCTATAATGTGTGAACATCGCTTGAGTACTATGACAGATATCACCTTGGGCTGAACTGTCAGCAGAATGGTGACAGCTTAATAACAAGAGTAATTCACCCATACCTAGCTATTGATGAAAGTGTCTAAGTCATCAAACATGAAGCCAGAAACATTACCTAATCAAAAAATATAACCTTTGAACTTAAACGCAGTAATAGTCAATCATCATAGACCAATATCGGTGCTCCCTCTACATACACCCCACACTCAGCAAGGAGCGAGATCAAGTAGCAGACTAGATCTCACATGTGTAGTTCTCACAATCTCTTCCACTCTATGATCTATCTCTACCAGCATTCATAGCAATTTTACTCATCAGCGCACTAAGTATCTGTGTAGTTCTCAGTATCTCATCCACTCTATCATCTATCTCTACCAGCATTCAGAGCAATTTTACTCATCAGCACAGTATGTATCTGTTCCATTATCGCTATCTCATCCACCCTATCATATATCTCTACCAGCATTCTGAGTAATTTCACTCATCTGCACAGTATGTATCTGTGTAGTTCTCACAACCTCTTCCACCCTATTATACATCTCTAGCAGCATTCAGAGCAATTCCTCCTCATCAGCACAGCATGTATATCTGTGCCGTTATCACTATCTCATCCAACCTATCATATATCTCTACCAGCATTCAGAGCAATTTTACTCATCAGCACAGTATCATTGTAGTTCTCACAATCTCTTCCACTCTATCATCTATCTCTACCAGCATTCAGAGCAATTTTACTCATCAGCGCAGTATCAGTGTAGTTCTCGCTATCTCTTCCACTCTATCATCTATCTCTACCAGCATTCAGAGCAATTTTACTCATCAGCACAGCATGTATCTGTGTAGTTATCACTCACGTCAGGTGGTAGCCAATGCCGAACCGACTCTTAAGGAAGAAGGATGAGCCGACACAGCGCAGGCGGCCGCTGGACATGATCGCCTTGCGGTCAGCGAGGATGTCGGCCTCGTCCATCATGTGCGTGGTCAGCAGGATGATGCGGCCCGGCCGCAGCCTGCGCAGCAGACTCCACACCTGCCGGCGCGAGTACGGGTCCATGCTCGCCGTCGGCTCGTCAAGAAACACGACCTGCCCACAAGAGATATGCTCCGTAGGTGTGTGCGTGTCTGCGTGAGTGTGTGTGTGTGTGCATCATATTTTAAATTTTCCGGTCACTCTCTTATTGGCATTATTCCTATATTATTATTGTTGTTGTTGTTATTATTATTTTTATCATCATTATCATTACTTTTATTATTACTGTTATTATTATTATCATTACTATTCAGAGTGGATGTAAAAAAAATATTATTTCGCAAATAGAATCGATCGAGCTTCTATCTTGTCACTACATACATTGACAGATGTGAAATGTTCTATAGCTTAATATCAATATCAGAGGCAGATGCAAGATATCTTATTATCACCGTGAGCTGTTTCTTTACTGCACTGTTGTTTTCCTTAATTTATTTATTTAACCAATTAGTAAGACATCTTTGCTTATTCATTTCATATTAGAGATTAGAGACCAAAATTATTAGAAGTGCAAAAATAAAAGTAAAGAAGTTTTTCAAATAATGCAACAGTCAAACACATACTAGCTAGTGGAGTGGTATCTGTTACCTTCGGATCGCCGATAACAGCAATACAGAGAGAGAGCTTGCGTTTCTGACCTCCACTCAGCTTACTAGCTGGTGTATCAGCTTTCTCCATCAGACCAACTTCCTCAAGCAAAGTCTTAATCTACAGTTAAGTGTTAGAACTTGACATAAATTGGCAGCAAATAAACACCCTTACTATATATATCACACTCACCGTTTCAGTTCAAGACTCTTAACCTCAAATATAATTGAGAGGAAATTTCATTTCCCAAGCTATCACCTATAAGGGAGCAAGCATGGTTGTATATCCGCTCTTCCAAGTTCCATGCTCGACATTGAATTAATGACTGTGTTAGGCAAAATTGTCTAGTACGTAACTACATGCATGTAACGCAGCATTAATATGGTTCATGTGAATTGACAGGTAGCTCCCCTTGTAGGCTTATAAACGCATAACCCACCTCGGCATTGAGTCGAGCAGGCACTACCCCCTTCAGACTAGCAAACACCTCCAAGTGTTCACGGGGGGTGAGAACGTCAAATAGAATGTCTTGCTGTGGACACACACCCGTCATCCCCCGGATAACGTCCATGTCTGACGGCTTGGCGATGTTTAACCCATAGATACTGGCGCAACCTGTAGAGCAAGTGATTTTGCATGAGACATTGCAAAAGCATATATGTGTAGATAGATGAGTGGCGGTGCGCAAGCGCGAACCACTTACAAAAAATCAAAACAAAGACGAGATATCTCGAGTTATTGCCGCAGTGATGACTTCATCTTCATGCCTGACTGTAGACCTGCATACAGCCATTCTTGCTGCATACAGCCATACTGCATACAGCCATTCATGCCTACCTGCATCTATGGGCACTGCAGTGCATTTACGCAATTGACCAAACGTGTTGCAACTGTATTTACACACACGACCATACCTACTGTCCATATTTACACACACGACCATACCTACAGTCAGTATTTACACACACAACCATACCTACAGTCAGTATTTACACACACAACCATACCTACAGTCAGTATTTACACACACGACCATACCTACAGTCAGTATTTACACACACGACCATACCTACAGTCAGTATTTACACACACAACCATACCTACATTCAGTATTTACACACACAACCATACCTACAGTCAGTATTTACACACACAATCATACCTACAGTCAGTATTTACACACACAATCATACCTACAGTCAGTATTTACACACACAACCATACCTACAGTCAGTATTTACACACACAACCATACCTAAGGATATGTTGAAAAGCATGAAGCATCGCGCAGCGCTGAAGCAAAAACTGGTCGAACGGAGTTAGTGAACATACCTCCGATCTTATCGCACAGACTCCCACAGCGTTACTGGAAAACGCGCCAGGCGACTTGTTTTCGCAGAGGCAATTCGGTCCTGAATACTTCCAGACTCCGTCAATTCGTGCCGAAGCGACGGGGAAATGAAGGGACAGAGACTGGGAGAAGACGATGGAGGAAAATCTACGCCGACGCCAAGGAGAAACGCTAGGGAGAGCGGTACATACGCAACACGGGTGACAACCGTGTTGGTCAGAGCAGAAGAAAGTGATCAAACTTACAACAGACTTCAAACGCAA